GGCGGGCGGTGGGCGACCGGGTGGAGGTCGGACCCTTCCGTCGTAGCCTTGTCTGTACTGTGGGGCTGAACCTGACGGTGGGCCTTAGCGGGGCAGAGAACTACCCGCGGTGGGGCGAGGAGCGAGCCGAAAGGGCTGGGGTGGGGCCGGGCCTGGGCCGCGGTCCCCCGCTCATCTGCCTCTGGGTGTTCCCTCCGCGTTACGGCCTTGTTCTGTGACCGTGGCCGGGTTGCGCCAGCGGCCGTGGGGCGGCTGAGCTGAGAGAAGGCAAGCTTGCCCTAAGCTGAAAAAGTGTCACCCGAGAGCCTTTACCGCGAAGGTCGTTGTCCGCTGTTGGTAGCGAACGAGCCGCAGCTCTCAGCAAGGAGGGCCCGTTAAAGGGGAACTCCGGTTTGACATCTCTGGAACGTGTTTCTGTATCCCGTGCAAATCACGTTCACGTGAATCCTACTTTAACTGTCTCTTTAAACCTACGTGCAATGCGACTAAAGCAATAACCCAGAGAAAGCAGATGGGCGGCTACTCTGCGTTTTTGGAACGACAAGAAAGCCGCTTGCGTTGGTCTGTGGAAACTCATCTGCAAGCTTGCTCTGAAAAAAGAAAGCTAGTAAATGGATGAGTAGATTAAATTCTTGAAATAAGCTTATGAATTTCCTAGGGAAATGCTACTTAGTTTTCTTACAGCTGTGGTGATTTGGGTCACCTTTTCTGGCCAGTTACAGCGCTTTATGAAGTTGTGTGATCACTGTATCAGTCCAGAGTGCTGACTAACAAGGGATGGGCAGATCCAGCACAGGTGCAAGATGTTAGTCCTGATTAAAGGTGTGAACTATTTGAAAATTTATATTTGAAATATAAGGCCTTTCACTTTCTCTGTCAATTGCAGAAAAGATTCAGCTGCTTGATCTGGAAGAGTCTTGGAAGCAAAGAAGGGGGGCAAAAGGGACGTTGTTATGTCTGCTGCTAAGGAAGAAGATGTCTGTAATCACGTGAAAGTGGTGGTCCGTGTCCGTCCAGAGTCTCAAAAGGAAAAAGATGGCAACTTTAGCAGAGTTGTTCATGTTGTTGACCAGCATATATTGGTCTTTGATCCGAAGGAGGAAGAGGTTAGCTTCTTTCAAGGGAAGAGACTGACCCATAGAGATATTAATAAAAGGAAAAACAAAGATCTTAAATTCGTGTTTGATGCTGTTTTTGCTGAAAGTTCATCCCAGTTGGAAGTTTTTGAGCATACTACCAAAACTGTAATTGATGGCTTCTTAAATGGATATAACTGCACAGGTAGGTAACTCTATCTATCGTCTTAATTTCAAAAACTTTACTAAATTCCTTGAAGTTTCTACCATTGTATCCAACTGCTGCAGAAGCCTTAAAAAAGGCTGAGAAATAAAGTATTTTGTTTTAATTTATAGATATGAGAGGTTGACTTTCTAGCCTATGGAAGTTAGGATAGCTCTACTGTATTTTGGAAATGAGTTTGTGGTAGGGTTATAATAGGCTTCAGAATTATATCTGAATTTTGAACTGAAAATTCAAAAATAAATCTGATTTTGAAATAACTTTTTGATTATAGCTGTTAAAAGTAAAGCCTAAGAAACTTGATCAGTTTATGAAAACAGCTGTGCGGAATGACAGAGGTGTGTGAGAGTCTATTTGACTTGCATTCCTGATTAACTTACTGGTATAAAGTGCATCTTTTTGCTTTCTTGTTTTTTGTGAAAATTCAGTGCTTGCATATGGTGCAACGGGAGCTGGAAAGACTTACACAATGTTAGGTTCCCCTGAAGATCCTGGAGTGATGTATTTAACCATGATGGCACTTTATAATTGCATGGATCAAATAAAAGAAGATAAAATATGTAATGTTGCTGTGTCTTATTTAGAGGTAAGGCAGTTCCTGTATTTGGTATGTTGCTTTTAATAAGGCATGTTTTAATAAATAAAGACAAGCTGGTTTTGCCTTCCCCCAGCCCTTTCTGAGACTTTAAAAAATGCGTTCCTGATAGGAATGGAACTGAACTGTGCTCCACGAATTTGGTATTATTCGTAGGCACCTGTTACTATTTTACAGAAGGCTGCCCAAAAAGACAATCTCTTCTAATATATTCACTAAACATTCTAATGATTTCTGTCTTGGTGATCAGTTACATCTCTCTGAACATCTGTTGATGTATACAAGAAAATATCTTTTCAGGGATATATTTCAGGACTTCACAACAAAATCCTATAAGCACTGTGAAATCACACACCAAAATGATATTTAATCCCTTCTTGATGATATATTTTAAAGTTGTCAGTTTATTTTATTTATCTTAAATACAATAAAACTACTTGAATTAGCTGCTATGCCAATGGTTAGCTCTTTACAAATATTCCTTTTGTCCTATGTTGTCACCTTCTCCTCTCCTCTCATCTCCTCTTCAACTCTTCTGCATCACAGTTCTGGTTTTGCAAGTAGCTGTCTTGGCACTGATGTCAAGCAGTGAAATTGTTACTTTCTAGCCCCCTCAAAGTCTTAATGGAAGTGTAGTTAGTATTTGGAGGACAGAAGGGGGAGGGAAAAGCTTTCTTTGCTGTGTGGTATTTCAAGTGCTTCCACAGACCCGAAATAAGGTATTAAAAAATTTTAACAGAAGTACATTTAGATTAAGAAATCTCTCTGAAGTGTAACAGAGGTCAATAAATGCTTTGGATTCATGCTTGCTGCAAAAGTTTTTGGTACAAAGAGTCAACTTTTGGGTTTTTAGTAAAGAATCAAGATTATTTACTACGAAAGAGTGACTCCCACTTCAATGGCTAAAAAGATTTATGCAAATTGAGTATTTCAAGCACAGTATGGGAAAACGTTTGGCAAAAATTCTATAGAGTTAATTTGTTACTTTGTCTTAAAGAAGTATTAAAAAAGACTGATGATTTCTGGTTAGTTAAGTTTAATCCTGTCAGGTATGGTGGGATAGTATTAGTAAAAGATTTTAAATTCCCTTTTGAAGATCTACAATGAACAGATCCGTGACTTGCTGGTAAACTCGGGACCTCTGGCTGTTCGTGAAGATACCCAGAAAGGGGTGGTAGTTCAAGGGCTAACATTACATCAGGTATGTAAATAAGATTTTGAAATTTAGGAAGCCTCACAATGTGTTTGAGAAAATGGTGAAGTTGCCATTGATCTGTGAAAGGTATATACAACTTAGTAATTTCCTAGTGGGCTTTTTTCTGGCAGTAATCACCAATACATTAGTAACTTGTGAACCTAATTAATTAATTATTCAAAAGCATGTTGTGGAAAAAACTGCTTGTATTATTAAATACAAACGGATTAAAGCATCCAGTCCTTATTATTGAAAGGGTACTATTGGTTTAATGCTCATCTTCAGGTTTTGGAAGATTTGTTTTCTGGCTAATACGTCACAGCATTTCTTAAAGGAATTCACTGCCTTCAGTGCTATCTCAGAGTGTTCTACACCTTTGCAAGTCTTGTGTCTACATCTCAGGCTTGTTCTTGTTTTTAAATAACCACATTTGACAAGTTTCATTTTAAATGACTTTTCCAGGCCAGCATAGCAATTCTTTGGCAGTCAGTGACAGAATTTAGTTTTCCAATCTGAAAATCAACTTTTGTGGACCTATTTCTGTGCAGCCTTTTAGTGTATGTTATATGCTGTGTAGCTTCCAGCTTTGGTGTATGTGAGATAATGATTCAACAGGTAACAGTGTCATTAATTTAGTTCACACTAAACACCATCTTTCCCAAAGCTTGCATCTGGAGGGGGGTGGGGTGGGGTGGGGTGGGAATTAGTATATCACTGTTTAATACATTAGTACAAGAAAAATTAAATCAGTCATTCTTAAATAAGACTTTTTCTGACTATGGCGAACCTTTGGAGAGTTGTTTAAATTATTTACTAAAAAAATTCTCTGATCTAAATTTAAACTAAAAATGTTTTTATGCTTTTTAACTGAAAATGTTTGAAGTGCCTTAATTCCAAAACAGGGGATTTATCTTATTTCTATTTAACTGAAATTTTAAGTTTATTTATTTTGTTGAAGGTGGATGTTAATGTATTTTAGAATCAGCGTAGAATTGCCTTATAGTTGTTGAAAAAGGGAAAAAAAGAAAAAAAAAAAAAACTGTGCGTTTTTTCTTTTGCTCTACCCTTAAAGCCTAAATCGGCAGAAGAAATCCTTCAAATGTTAGATTACGGAAATAAAAATAGGACACAGCATCCCACAGATGTAAATGCCTCCTCTTCCCGGTCCCATGCTGTCTTTCAGGTAAGACGATATAGCAGATACACAGTGGTTATTACTGTGAGGTGTAGTCATTGTTTGAATTTGAATACAAAGGAAGATTATCTTTTTTTAACCCTGAATGTTAGTTTGGGTGAGAGGAGATTAAAGTTTTCCAGTTTACTGTTCTTGTTGATTTCTCATTCCTTGTAAGTATTTATATGTTCATGGTGATTGTAGTTGAAAAATCTAATTCAGTGAAAAGCTTTCCAGTTCTGTTACTTTGAACTAGTACTCCTTAGAAGAAATATTTTTTCTGTAAAACTGAAATTTTGAGCTTTAAATATACTTCCATATTGTAATCTTATAAACTGAAAGGTGTTTGGAGGGAGAATGTTAATGCTTTCTGGTTTCATTGTTTTCCTCAGCATCTGCCTAGGAAAAGTATTTTAGAGAATGCAGTTATACATCTGACTATGAATTGAGTTTCTTAAGTAGTACTTTCTCATTCTGCTTTTTTTGGTTAATGTTGATTTTTACTCTAAAGTGATTTCTTAATAATTCTGGTATGTACCAAGTTCTAGAACAACTAAAGCAATGTATATTCTCTGAAAAAAATCTCCATACACGTACTTGTATCATCAAAATGAAATGCTGATTTTTAGTTCCCGTAGATGAGTTTTGCATGTGTAGTACAAATCTACTAGAACTCAGGACTTCTCCAAAGATTATTGCTGTTTGGTGACCACCACTTTATACTTCTGACTCCTCTTAAACACAACCTGTGGTATTTTAAAAAAATATTTTAAAATGGGTCTTGTTAGCTAAAACTTCTTTTTTCCATTTGTTAGTGCATGCTGCAAAGCACATTATCTTCTAGTATTTATATGTTGCCACCTAGGTTGCAAAATATTAAACCAAATTTGAATTCTGGTCCTTGCACTACAGCTAAACTATTTAACTGTTAGGCAGTTCTTAAATATATCCACAGACTTAGACAGCGGTTAATACTGTAGCCAAAAGTTTGTATTTTGACATGGGTGATGGCAATGCAATTAGCTGTAAAGTTAGCTCTCCAGAGCTCTACTCTCACTTCCAATGAGCAAAGAGGTTAATAACAGACAGTATTTACTGTTAAGCACTTCTAAAATACATAACAGAGCAAAAGTCGTTACCACTCTTGCAGCTTCTATGCTTTCTTTCATGCCTTAGACTTCTGTTTAAACTGCCCTTCCAGGTTTTAATTTCCCCTGAGGTCTTGCCCATGGTTGTACATTTAAGGCAAAGACTTCTTAGGAAGTTGTTCAGTTTGAGAGCTGCATTGTTGCATGTGTGTGCTGCCTTTAATAAGGCACAAAGTGCAGTGCCACAGAGTGAGATCAGAGAGCGAACTGCTGATCTCTGTTTCTTTACTTGCTGGGCTGGAGTGTCTTACCTCCCTCACCTTTACTGAACAGGAAAAAGCTCTGGATTGCCATGTCTGGCAGACATTGAATTCTTATCAGTTAGTTTCTAAAAGTGGCAAGCAATTAATTAAATTAGGTAAATGTTGCAAACTCATAATATCTTCAACAAGAAGACAAGCAATTCTGTGAACAAGGATGCTAGAAAGTTTGTCTTCTCAGTTTGTCTTCTCCAGCCTACGCTCTATATTTACTCTTTCAAATTGATCTCACTGGAGATAAATCTACTTGTTAGCAGAAGGTGCATATTCACCAACTAAACTATACTGACAAAAGTAGTATACATGTATCAGTGCAATTTTGTTTGAATGTATGACAAAAAATGGATCCATATACTTAATCAGACTTACGCTTTTTTAAAATTCATCATTTCAAACCATTTCCAGCTGATAGCAAAAGTGAAGCAAATACGAATGCTTGCAGGTGAAAGGATTGTTTATTTTCTGGCAATACAAGTAAAATAAAGATCCTCTCATGCCTAAATATTGTAGGAACAGCAAATATATAATTTCTCTCTGTGTGTATATATATACAAAATGTATATATATTTAGGATGCATCTTGTTTGCAATGCACTGAATGAAAACTGTCATGCTCAGTGGTCTTGTAAATGCATCTCATATGATGTTCTAAAATGAACAAGTGTGTTTTATTTATTGTTGTTTGTGTATTATATACACATTGTAATCTGGTATGATGCAATCCTCTGAATGTTTACAAAATATCGTTACAGTAAACATCTTACTTTAAAAAGCAAAAAGTATATGCTTTTGCAGCTCATGTATACTAAGCCCAGAATTATTTTTCTCTTAGATCGTTATTTTTGATAATAGAATTCTTAATATTGCTCAAACTAGTGTGAACATTGTTGTTGTTGAGCTTGAGGTAACTGACAAAGTAATTTCTGGACTAATGTCTCTGTTCTTTGTTTTTCTGTGTCCTGGTAGCAGGAAATGCACTGGCAGTGTAAAATGCACTGGCTGTCTCTTAGCTGGTCTCCATATGCAGTTAAATGGCATGATTGATTGAACTTGATATTCATGGATAAACATCTGGGTGTTAGAACCTTTTTGTAAAGGAAGAGACTTTTCAAAGTAAAGATTAGGCATTGCCATGCCATGGAGCAAAGCATGTTCTGCCGTGTACTCAGCATTCAGACCCAGTGCACAGTTCATTCAGAAAAACTGTCACACTGATTCTGTTCAATGATACTGTAGCTACCAAAAACTTTCACTGGTGTTCTTTTCAATATTGCTAATCCAGTTAACTCTTGTAATGAGATAATCCTGAATGTTTGTTGTGTTTGTCTTTTGAGTTGGTCTAGCTGTCAATCAAGATATTTAATTGCTTTTGCTTAAGTGTTATTTTCATGTTAAGTGCACAAATTATTGGTAAAAGTCATGATTTGTTTTGTTAGACAATTATATCTTGAATGTGTGCCTTGTATAAACACCTACTAATGTCATGTGTTCTCAAATATAAACTAGCACAGTCTTTGAATGATAGCACATTAAGGGTGAATGGGTTTTAAGCCTTTTTTGCAGAAGTGACTTCATGCTTGGGAAGAGGGGAGGGGGGAATATGTCACTTATAAATAAGAATGTGTGTGTAAGTAAATGCTTAATGTAAATACTGCATGTGGCACTTTAAAGGAATATTACTGTTGCTAAATAGATTGGTCCAATGAAAGCAACTGGAAGTTTAACAGATCTTAATATGCACTGGTTTAAGCTAAGCAAGTTCACAACCATACACTTTTTTAAAAGTAGATTCTTAAATACTTCCTCTACTTGAGGCACTTAGTAGTAGTGTTGGCATCTATAAGAAATAATTGCAAACTAGTCAGTTAGTACTACAAGTAATTGCTTATGTCAGTTTCTCATCTATTTCTACAAATCTGTGACATTCTGCAAAACATGTCTTGACTGCTTATCCTTTATTGCCTCTTTGGTTAAGTTTTCTGTTATTTTAAGAGTTGCTCTTGTTTGTAGTGAGTGGTTATCTTTTATGCTGGCATTGGTTTTGTTTTTAACTTTATTGGAGCGGGACATTTTCTGGAACTGACTCAGAAAGTAGTAAAAGTCTTGGCCCAGGACATTGTGAGATGATTTTAGACATGCAAGTTTTGCCTTACTGTACTGTCTGTCTTAGGCTTGAAATCTCTATCTAGGTCAGGCAATTACTGCATCTGAAAGTAAAATCCCAATTGCCACACTTCTATTGAAAGTGTTCTGCTGATGGACAAAGAAATAGAAAAGATTCTGCTTTGGGGCATTTCCTGTATCTTTTGAATTTTTATAAAAGCTTGAGTCATACAACATAGTTTGGCTGTCGCTCCACCTTTACCCACTTCACTAATGATAGTTACTGGGTTCTGGTAGAGTGCTACCAGCCTGAGATAGCTGCTTTACCAAGGTAAGTAGAGGGAAGTGGCTTTTTTTTTTTATTTTTTCTTTTTAATATTGTGCTAGAAATAGTACAACAGAACTTACTTGTATTGTTTGATATACAAACATGTCTACTTGGTATAGACATACCTTCTGTAGGAAATCATAAGAATTTTATTCACTCCCAATACTTGTCAATTTTTTTTCTGTTACAAATTGCTGTGAAGACTTCATTTCTCATGTGCAAAGCTTAAAGCTTCAGAACTGGTGAGATATTGTCTTTATTAGTCAATCATCTTATACGTATGGCAACTCTTTAAAAAAAAACTCTTTCCCAATTCATTGTCTAAAAGTGTGTTCTTGAAAACATCGGTAACCATTAGCCTTACAAATGGCAAGGCAGCACAAAAGAAGGGAAAATTTATAGAGAATCCTGAAAAAGTAAAAGCCATCTAAGGATAACTGTAATTCTTATTGACTGTGTAATCATGCTGTGCCTACTTCCTTGTAAACCTCAGGAAAGAATACCTACGCTAGCAGAAGGAAGCCAAAGCATTCAGTTCATTTTAAATCTCCTGTACCGTGAAAATTTCAGAAAAGAAGGGATGAGGGGGGAATAATTGGCCTCAAGGGTCACAGCTTTCCAAAAGACCCTGGAGTTGTATGAGTTTTCGCAGCAGTAAATGAGTATTGGTCACCTATTAATGGTACTTACAGTTAAGTCTAAATCACTGAAAGTCTAACCTTTTTCCTGGTGTATCCCTATATACATCTCTCTCTTTATGACATACTCTTAAAGGTGTCTCTAAAAAATGAACACCTTTTTTAGCTTAAAGTGCAATGGCATGGTGTACATCTTGAGTGTGAAAGAACCAAGAGCTATTTTGGCTATGAAATTCATTTGAAGCTCACCAGTCTGCCACTGTGGTAAGCTCCCGCCCAGTTGCTCGCTTAATCCTCTGCAGCAGGTTGGGCAAGAGACTCAAAAGGGCAAAGGCAAGAGGGAGAGGGAAATACCTTGTGGCTCACTTAATGAGTGAAGGGGATGGAGGGGAAGCAGCCACTTGCCACCAGCAGTCTGATGCCCAGCCAGTCCTCAAGCAACGGCTACGTTGGAGAAACTCTCGGTCAGTTAGGGTCATGTGTCCCCTTGCAATGTCTTGCCCACCACCTTGACATTGTACAAGCATTGTTCAGCAAAAACTAAACACTGGTGTGTTATCAGCACTGTTTGGGTCAAATCTGAAAACACCTTATGGGCTGCTATGCAGAAAATTAACTCCGTACCAGACAAAGCCAGTGCAACCACACTGCTTCTTTTTCACTGCTGATATATGAAGCAGGTAAGTTTAAGTGGTAAGTGTCAGAAATTGATTCACTGTTTTCCATTAGGCCAAACTGCCTGTTGGTGCTGGATATGTACTAAAAGGTCTAGCTTGGATTCCAAGAAGGATTCCTATAAATTCTCAAAACAGTTGCTACACTGTAAAACTACCTTACTGATTAAAGTAACAACAGACTGGTTAGTGGTTACATTTTAATTATTTTTTTTTTTTTTTTAGATTTATCTAAGGCAGCAAGATAAACCAGCTAGTATTAATCAAAATGTTCGCATTGCCAAAATGTCTCTCATTGACCTGGCAGGATCTGAACGTGCCAGTGCAACAAATGCGAAGGGGGCTCGTTTTAGAGAAGGAACAAATATTAACCGCTCCCTGCTAGCTCTTGGAAATGTCATTAATGCCTTGGCAAATCCAAAGGTATGTGCTTCTTTCCCATGTAATCTTCACCTTCTAGTGTTGTGGAAACATTTTTAAAAGTGGTAAGTATTAAATGTGGCACTTCTTTATAAAATATCTGGATTGACACTACCTCTTTATAAAATATCTGGATTGCCTCTTACTGTAGCTTTGGAATTTATTCCTGGGATATCCTAATGGAATATATTAAAAAACGTATACTATAACTATACTTATACTTAAGTTCATGTAGAGTCATTCTAATTTAAAAAAAAAAAAGTCTCTGTAAATCTTGGGGAGAGGGGAAAAAAAAATTCCTTATCTTTTCTGTTGCTGAATCATCTGATGCAACTTTACTTTTGCCACATTAGCACCAGTGCTGAAATTAACTTCTACTTGAAAGGGAAACAACTTTTTTTTTAAGTATATATTATGTATTTCACTTCTGCTGATACTGATGTTGGAACCAGCATCCCTTTGACTGCCTTAAGTCAAAGGTTTATTTAAATGAACCACAGGGAATGTTTTGTCTGTGTAAGAATATTGGAGGAAAACATCTTGGGTTTTGTTGCTTACACTCAGAATAGAAATGCTAAGGCTTTAAACAGTTTTAACTGCTTTTGATTTTGCCTTATTATAGGTTAGTCATAGAGGTGAATAAATTGTGGGGTTTTTTCCTCCCTTACAATCAGGAAGCCTAGGATTCATACAGTTTTAATTAGAAAGGTTCTTGCCCTCCAGTTATATGTACACTGCTCCTGGTCTTACACTGCTCCTGCACATTAACAAAAAAAAACCCCACACATTTTTTTCAGCATTAATGAAGTATTTTTTTTATAGTTCTGTCATTTAATAAAACATAGATGCTTTTTAATTTCCTGCAACAACTAAAATTATAATACTGGAGCTCTTGTACAGCATTGAAAAAAATGGTCTTCCTATGGTATTCCTTGTAAACTCTTCTTGCTGCCTGCAGAGTGAGAAGGGGCATTCTGGCTGGGTATGATGCGGAGTTGATATCCTACCACAGATTCTGTCTGTAGTGTTGTAGATAGGTACTTCAGTGTCTTATTATCTGATCTAGCAAAATTCCCCTGTTTACAAATTTGTTTAAAGAACTTTGATATCTTTTAAAGTAACTCCAGAGTATATATTGTTCATTTCTGAAATATAACCCTGCTAAAGCCTGAAGTCCAGGAAAGCTCACATTGAGTAATGGAATTACATTGTTGATCATTTTCCTTTAAGGTTTTCTTATGGATTTCCACCATCGTCTCCGATAGCTGAATGAAAAACAGTCCCAACAGGACAGGAAAGAGTTTTAAAAAATGGTGTGCAGTTACCTAAGGACGGTGTCAAAGATGAATGTATCTGCTTTGCTTACCCGCCTTTTTCAAAATCAAGCCTGTGTAGAAAAGCTTGCATGAGTAAATAAGTAGCCTGACAAGGGCAAAGATTTTTTTCCAGAGGTTTATCCCCTTTAATCTTAGGGGAGTAGGCTTTCATAGGAGAAAACAACACCCATCCAAAGCTGTTCTTTTGTGCTGTTCCACACATACACACACCTCCCCACACACGCTAGTGAATTAGTTTCCTGATCTGGCGCACCAGGGGAAGGAGTGGGGACAGTTATGTGGGAGAATGACAAAACTTCCTGAACTTTTGCCAAAGCCAAGTCCATTGCCTGCACCTACACCCTTTTTTGTTCTTCTGGTCAGCTAGCAATTTTCCCCCCCCATTCAAATATGCCAGGGGAAAATGATCAGAGCTTTTAATTCCCTTCCTGGTGCCACATATTCTTATCACCATCTTGTTGAAGCGGAAGGCAGAATTTAGAATCTGTACCATTGACATAAGTAAGATTCTTCATGTTGACTTATTTGGTGTGGAATTGGTGTCTAGTGATCTAACTTAGTGCTGAGATGAAGATTCTGTAGATGTGATTGAAAAAAAGCTTCACAAAGCAGACTTTGGGTTGCCTGGAAAGGTTGCGGAGTCTCCATCCTAGGTGATACTGAAAGCCCAAGTGGGCATAGTCCTTGGCAGCTTGCTGGAGCTGACCCTGCTTTGAGCAAAGGGATTGGACTAGATGGATCTTGGGAGCTCTTTCCCAACCCTGATTATTATGTGAACTGAAAGTAGTTTTATGTAGTTTACCTTTTCTGCTAATTGCCCACATCACAAAAATAGTTAAGTATCTGAACATCAGAAAGTAACTTAGCTAATACACATGTTACAAAGGTACTAAACAGTTCCAAGAGATTTAAAACCATGTAAGATGTATATGTAATTTTGAGGAAAACTAACTATAGCAAAGAAAAGTTCCAAGGCTGTTTGTTGTGTTTTGTGGCATTGTTGACATTGTAGGCAGACTTTTAGGTGGGTGAATATTTAAAGTCCCAATGACCAATCCATAAACATGCACATAAATCTTTTTCTAGAGCAAGAAACAGCACATTCCTTATCGAAACAGCAAGCTTACTCGTTTATTGAAAGATTCTCTTGGAGGAAACTGCCGAACAATAATGATAGCTGCTGTTAGTCCATCTTCTATGTTCTATGATGACACATACAATACGCTTAAATATGCAAACCGCGCAAAGGATATTAAGTCTTCTGTGAGTATGTTGGTATTTATTGGGTTTTTCTCAAAGTATAATAATACAGTATTAAGAGAAGGAGTGTTATTTCTTGTAACATTTATAACTGCCTTCATTTTTGTCTCAAAATTTTGTTCAGTTACCTCTTTCTTATAGTCAGCTCTTCATCATACATGTAGTAAATACAGAGACAACACAGCTGACTTGTTCTGGCCTACAAGCAACATAGCTTCTTTAATGGGATTATGCTGACAGTTTCAAAGAGTGTGTTTTGTGAGTCTCAAATTTTGAAATAATCTTCAGCTGGTAGAATTCACAGTCAGTTTCAGTATCTTACTATTATGTTGTCAGAGAACTGTAAAACACATTAAAGAAATGTCTGAGCAGTTGTACAAGAGCTAGTCCAGGTTTGTTACAGGTAGAATTCAGCTGGAGCCAAGAAGATCAATATTGATGAACAAAAAGTTACTAGGGTGTTCTCTCTTCCACTCTCTATTGTCCAGATTATTCTGATTCTTTTTTTCATAATCTGTTGTATCACAGCTCCTAATTTCTTCTGTGTAATATGGGGTTGACTGTACTTTCCATTTGTTGCATACTTAAAGATGGTTTTTATAATAAAATGCACAAGATATACATTAAATAGTAAAACTAGTCTGAATAAATGAAAAATGTGCTTGCACGTGCAAATATAATAATTTTTTATTGTTCTGCATGGGGAAATGACATGGCCATAGGTATGCAACAAATTATTGCAAAAGCTGAGGGTCATATTTTTGTTGTGCAAGTCAGGATTGTATTCATCCCTTTCCTCATCACATAGAGAAAGTGTAATTATCTAGTACTTACACTCAGTGTATTTATTATGCAGGAAGACATAAAGAAGCCTTCTTAAATTCTAACTTGTTTCTTTTCTTTAACAGTTGAAGAGCAATGTTGTTAGTTTGGACAGTCACATCAGCCAGTATGTTAAAATTTGCAACGAACAAAAGAAAGAGGTATATCAAAATCTATTGTTAAAAGTTTGAAAGATTGTTATAACTTTGAATTAAAAAACAAAACAAACCTTCATGGGATTGAACCTATAAACCAGAAAAATATATTTCAACTAAAAGATACCTTTTTTGGTTTAGATCCTAATGTTGAAAGAGAAACTGAGAGAATATGAAGAAAAGCAACCAAGCATTCCTGAAAATAGTAATGCAGCAGTACTTTCAAACAACCAGCAAGTGGAAATACAAAGGTAAATTATTCCCATTAAAATCTTGCTTCAAAACTGGAGTTTGTATAACTTGTAAAAGCATTTGTAAAACCAACTTACTCTTTTCAATATTGGTTTCCTCATTTTTAATATTGCTTTACTTAAAGTAGGTGTGGCTTTGCATAACTTATCACTTGGTGACAGGACTTGGTGGATTTAAAACCAAAAAAATATTGTGTACTTGAGGAAGTATCCTGACATTAACCTTCTAGGGAAATGATTCAGTAAAACACTGCAAGATAAACAGAAGCTGACATAACTCACTCTCACATCACGATTTAGAACAGTGGTGAAGGTCTTGCATCTATAGTTACTTTCTTGTGAAGTAGTCACTAAATTGACAAGAGTGCAGCAATGTCAGTATTCTGTGGATGGTATTTATTCCCATTGAGTGTTATGTAATAAAGAAATATAATAAATTTAAGAAAGGGGAAAAAAGTTGAACACAATATTAACAAAAGCTTCCTGACAGATCTGTCTGTGGAACAGTCTTGGCAGATGATAGAAGTCCATCTCACAGGACTTTTAAAATTAGGCATGGTCCTTTAATAACAGAAAAAAAATCCTTTTTCTGGTAGGAAGCTTATCTTCATAAATTAAAAAATGTGAAATTGTCCTACAAGTAAGAGAAAGTTACTATACTTTTAAAGTTATATTCTCAATAAACTGGTCAAGATCTAGACTTTGAAAATCAAGATGACATGTTTTGGGGAGAGGCATAGTAGAATATTTACAAGCCTCTTTTTTGATAACTCTAGGAACATGTTACCAAATAGAATTTGAATGTCTCTTGCATTATGCAAAAATTCCAAAACTATACATTCTCATGGTGGTGTTTCTTCTCACAGTCCCGTTTAGTTGTTTTAGTAATCTCGGAGGGGGCAGGAAATGACACACATACGCAGCAGGACGGAGCATATGAAGGCTGGCTTTCAGCAAAGCTACTTACCAGGTCATTTTTGTGGGTAGACAATGTAGTTTGCATAAATGACAGCAGCTGCTGCTGGCAGGTGCTAATGAAGTAGTACCTTTCCTGCAAGGTTTAAGAGATGTGAGAACTTGGAGTTCTTTTTCCACAGAGTCTAATTTATGTTTGTAGGTTCCTTACTTTCTGTTGCTTTCATATTGCCTCGTCTACTTTTCTTCTTGGTGATGTTCCTGTCTGTCTTTTCTGATGTGACAGTCTCTCGTGAGAGCACATAAAAAGTAACAAATGAAGACATGTGAATATGAATTTGTTGTAGAAGTCAATCTATTCCATAAGAAGGTTAGGTTTTGGTGTGAAAGTCTTTCTGGATCTCTCTCTGCATATCTCATCACATATTTCTGAGAATTTTTCACCTAGGTTTATTCAGTTGGTTTTTTTATTGGCCCTTTGAATGTGCTATTTCTTAACCCGGAAAACCTTCTGAGGCGAAAGAAAAAACGTATTCAAAGCAAAATGCTCTCTAACTAAGCTTCATTTTACTGGCATTCCAGAGTTTTCAATAAACCTCTCATTCAGGTTATTTAAATTTAATTTTCAAAAGAAGTGTAGGTTTCTAAGTCATGTTGATAGTTCTGACAGTTTTCCTGCATATTTTTGCACTGTAAGGCTTCAAGGTTAATTTAATTTCCTGTGGTTCGCCCTTTATTTCATTCTATGTTTATGGGAAGAATCAGTCAAGGGCAAGGTATCTAAAATGTCTTTTCAAAATGCTGGACACATTCTGTGCTGAGATTTGTGGTCAGAGTATATTTGGGTTTTAATGTTCTGGAATATCCAGAGACATGTGTAAGCCTATTCCATTCCCTCTAGATATCAACAATAATGTGGATGCTTCATTCCCTTCTTCCTCATGAGGATCCTGTCAGGTTCATCGTACTGATGGTGTGGGCGATGAGTTCATTCCCCCCACATCCATTTACAGGTTTTGAAGGTATTCTGCTCTCTTCTCCCTTCTGTTTAAGACAGGGTAGAGAACCTTATCCACAATCTTGTGTTTCAGTCCAACTACCTAGTGCTTTTGCTGCACTGTTATCTGGAAGAGACTCACTGATTACACCACTCTTTCAAATCCAAAAAAAAAATGCATTGTCTGCCAACCTTTAAAGTCTTGAGCCTGTTGAGGTTGACAGTGGACACTGGTTTTGGAACCACTACCAACAGGTCCATGAGCCTTTGAGAGTAGATAGTCCAGAGAGTTTGTACCCTGGATGTGCCTACAGGATCACTTTGTCATTTTTTAAGTGAAAAGAAGAGAGTAAAGATAACTCCACAAGAATAGAAATGTGCTTTCTGAAAGAGTGAATGCAGGTCAAGGCAGGAGCTTTGCAAAGGCTTCCATACTTGGTGCTATGGTTGGGACACTGGTGATTGTAAGTACATAAAAGGTTGGTTTACCAGTAATAGTGTCTTACAGTGACTGTACATAGAATCAGAATTTGCAGCCTCTCTTAAATTATGCCCAGGGTTTTACTCAGAGAAACTGACAGAGAGGATTCATCTTTATTTCTTATTGCTGTGTTTCCCAGGCAGCTGGGAAGAACCATGTTTCTATGGATACTATGGAGGAAAAAACTTCTCCAACCAGTTGTGCAATAGGTAGTATAGTAGTGCAGATCATACAAATAGTAACAGTGTAGGGTAAGAACTCTGATACTCTGCAGCTGACTATTTTATTCCTCAAAGAAATATTATTTCTAAATTCTGTGTGTGTTTTAGTACACATTTTTCCCTAGACACAATAGCATTCTCTGGACACTTTTAGGTAAACCTGTTGAATTTCTATAACTGTAGAGAATTCTTTTGTTAATTCTCTTTGTTTTTAAAAATGAGAGTAATAAAACACTAGAATAAAAGACTTGGAGTTATTCAGACTTCAGACTATGAAATGGAATTGTTACTTCTGAAACACACTGACAAGAAGTCAATTACATGGCAAGAAGGTCTCTTCAACTTACTCTCTAGTTGAACCTATGTGTTATAGTATTTTTATGATATTTAATTTTATGGTCTTTTTAAACACTGTGTAACAACCTCAAATGTTGCATGTCTTTAGAACATTTGCATGTTAAACTGTGCCTTTATTCTTATGTAAAGTTCTAACAAGTCAATAGCATGATGTAATGAAATGGGTTGTAGACAAGGTTGGTCATTATTGAGATATACAGTATCTTTTGGGCTATTCTGTACTACATTTTCAGTATTCATGAGTGAAAAAGTACCACCACTGAAACTTATATTGCAACATGGTAATGTTTCCAGGTTTTCTCCTTATCCTTGTTGTTCTGGTTTGCATGGCTGACTAAGGATAAGCAGATTTTGAGGCCATTTAAGCATTGGTCTCTGAATAACTCTGAAGTACCTTCTACCACTAGTTTGGTGTTTTTTCCCCTCCCACTAGCTTAGTATGTGTTAAAACATGATGCATGTTCTGATTTTTGTCATCCATTAGCGATTAAAATCATACAACAGAACTTCAGAGACAGTGAGCAACTGAAGGCTCTTTTGTGGTTTCCCTTTTTTGAGAGATTAGTAGCAGGTTTCTTGAAGGAGACCTTGTGTGTCTATAGCAACAGCAGTCTGATCTGTTTAATAAATTGGTATAAGAATTAGAGAACACAAGTAGTATCTTTTAGAAGTAGAGATAACACTTCTGTGAAGAAGTTCCAGATGTCTGTCTTTTGAATCCCAGTGTTGTCTTCATAAATCCAACAAGGTATCTTTTTAGTGACCCCTTCAACATTTCACATCCCATTTCTAGTTTGACTACATAAAATCTTTACTGATGCACTGACACTTTAAGTGTTCATCTGTAACAGGCTTTACATTTTTCCTCTTTTTTTTTGTATTTATTTTATTAACTTGGAATTGAAAGTTCCCATTGTAAAGGAGATGGTCATAAAACAAAGTCTTCAGTAAGTAACCTGCTCTTTATTCTTATCCTTTGGTTCTAATAGATACAAAGAAATCCTTAAAAATGTGTTTGCAAACCGTGAGGAAATCAGAAAAGAGTACCTCAAGTTGGAAATGCAACTGAAAGAAAACGCACTGAAGACATATTACCAGAAACAATGTCATGAACAAATTCAACTGATGTGCTCTGAAGAAAGAGTAGAAAAGGTGAGTGTTCTGTAGTGTAATACAAGGTATCATCTCTCTTCATTTTGCTACACTAGCGTGTGAATTTTGCTTAAGTGATTATATAATTAGTTAATGCTTAAATATTTAATTAAAATGGGACAAAATGGGACACACTGATCAGTCGGATAACATTTTCTGACAGAAATACAGAAAATGTAGTAGTAATGCCAGCTGCGCTATTTTTTTCCCCAACACTGCACAAGAAACTGTTGATGTGCTTATTGCTGCTAATTGGGAAAACTTCGACTTCTCCTTATATGGACTGGATTGTCATAGTTACTTAAGACCTGATTAGAGTTAGGGAGACTCATGGTGCTCTTGTCCAAAACCAGAGCATGTTAACATATGTATGGTACAGCCATTGAAGCTGTTATCAAGCTGAGTAATACCCCTAAGTTTCATAAGGAAAGCATGCACCTTGTGCTGAACGGGACAGATTCTTATCATTGGTGTTTTCAGTTGTCGCCAAGAAGATGTTTGGATGCTGCCTAAGGACAGAGTCCTGTGAACAGAAATAATTACGTTTAATTGCCTTGAATTTTAAGAGAAGAATTTGGGGGCTAAGTATGAACAATTGCTGTTGTGCAGCACTAAATACTTGTGTCTTTGTAGAAGAATCAAAGTATAAATAAGTAAGCATGGTTAGATAGTATCTTAATTTTTCTGTTAAAACTCAGTTTAAAGGAATATATGTTTTATGTAGACTGGAAGTTGAGGGTGGGGCTGATTTTGCTTAGTCACAGTAACAATCTGTATTTGGCCAAAAATGAGAGTTTACCATATGACTCTTTTTTCCCAGTGATTCACATGAAATTTGGTCCTTAGATAAATGTCAGAGTGAAAATATATCACACGTTTTTGCTTGTCATTAATGAAGATATTTCAAGTGACTAATGTGTTCTAGAATTCTCTTTTACGCCACAGAAACTCTGAAGTAATACTTTCTATCTGTGCTGTGCTTATAAACACTGCTTACAATGGAGCATAGTTGTATATCTATTTACAATGAGGGGTTAGACCTTCATACACTCTATTTCATATGAATGTTTTCTAATGAGTTGGTTTAACTTTTATTTTGAACGTTAGGAGTGCTGCATTCAATTGTTGATTTTGCCATTATTTAACTTATAGATGTGATTTACTAAGAATCAAGAGTCACTGTCCAATAAGTACCATGCCTTATTTATTAACAAGAGTACGTCACTGTAATGGTAAAATTAAATGTCTTTTTGTGACTACTTTGGAACAAACGGGATTTTAATTTGGAATCCACTTATTTGATTACCAAAGTGACAGCTCACGTTTCCCTTGTGTACTATGATGATTCTGTTCTTCCATGTATTTTTACATGTTTCCTATTTTCTTAAATGCCTCTGGGTTTTCTCTCTCTAAAATACACTGTTAGGCCACAGGGGTATTTCTGAAATAGTAATTTTTCAGGGAAATGTTTTACTTATAAAGTATTCTCATTTTACACTTAATTGTCTGTGCTCAGTAACTAGATATAATAATGACTTTAGGTAAGTTAACACGAAGCAAATGATATCTATCTACTTGAACAATCTCGGTTTGAATGCTTTATTTCAAAATAATAATTTCAGAAAGAAGGAAAAAAGGGGGGAAAAAACCCTTTCATATGAATTTAGATTACCTTAATATCTATTCTTAAAAATGCTTTCTTGTTGCAAAAATTTTGTCACATTTTGTCTTGTGAAATTCAGTCTATCCTGGACCACTAATAAATTATTTTCATTTTCCACATAACTGCCCCTATTTCTTTTTTTTTTTTTTTTTTTTTAGAACTTGGGTGCTACCTATTTAAAGGGTTGTTTACGTTCTCCTGCCTAATGCCCGTTCCTCCCCTTCTTTTACCTCTATTTCTGCATCTGTGGTGTTTTCCTGTTGCATGCTAGGTGTCAGCTACAGCAGTGTTAGCCAGAAAACCTTTGGGCCAATAGGAGAGCATGTGTAGAGCATTCTTCTTTGTATGGAAGTGTAGAAAGTTAGTGTGTGCCCCTGTGTTATAGTTACTTTTAACTATCTTGCTGAGTTTGATTGTCTTCTCAGTTTTGACTTATTTTATCTTGAAGGTTTCTGCATCAGTCATGGAATCCGTTTTACTTTTTTTTTAGATTTTCTTGTGTTTAAAGACATCACAAAAAAAGTGCTGCTTTGATAGCCTTAAAAAAAAATATATATATACTAGATTTAAAATCCCTTCTACATGTCCGATTGCCACTTTAACATTATTTTTACTGTCTGGAAAAGGAGCACGTTCCTAGAAAGCAGTCAGTCTACCTTGGTTTCGGTTTTTCTGCTTACTGCAATTGCCCATGTTGGATTCAAAAAATGCTTGTGGGGTATGTCCCAGTTCATCATCTTCAGATGATTTCTTCTAGATCTCTTGTGATTATTTTTTATTTTTTTTCCCCAATTACAAAACAGTAGCAACCAAGCATCTTGCTTAGGACTGCATGTGTTTCAGAGGTTGTATACAGCTCGCACGCATAACCGTGTCTTTTCTGTTGTAGCACATCAATATAACATGTCCTTTCTTCCTGGGAGCCTATGGGATGGGTTCATCAACTGGTGGGATGTTGTCAATACCACCTTCAGTCCTGAGAATTCTCCTGCACTGTTTAAAAGCTGAAGTATGCAAAACAATGCATTTGAACTTTTCTACTTAGGCAGTCCTGAGAGCTCTCCCCTAGTCTCACTGGTCAGAGGGAACCAGTGGTCATTGTGAGCTTCAGTCTGACAGTTAAGCCTTCCTCCTGGTACTTTCCATAAGGAGGCTGGTCCTTTATAGAGTAACTTTGTCTTCACTGGATCCTCTGTCATCTTAGCAGATAACACAGTCTAAAGAGAAAGCAAAGTGAAACTGGCCAGAATCTAGTCTTTGTCCTGGTAAGTTCCCTGGAGCACACATGTAGTTCAGGTGTCTTCGCCATGCTGGTTCTGTGTTCTGCATGCCATGTGTTGAAGTAAGCATTTTGAAAAGTCATCTTGAGAAATGCAATCTGCATCTCCCCACATACTGTTCCTGTTTTCTACAGTATGTTCAGAAGGGCTCCAGTTTGAGTAATTTCTGCTTTGTGCAACATTAGGGAGGTACGTTTCTATGACACTTTATAATAAATTAATTTGCCCTGCTAATCTAAATATGTAGGTTCATTCTAATTAATGAAGTTTTCATTTAGTGTTAATTTTGGAATGTGTGGACAAAGAGATTTAGGTTATATAATTTTTAAAAACTAACTGGGTTCTCTATGTTTGTTTTTGTTGACTGTAGCAATATACTTCAAATGTTTGTGGTTTTTTGTTTTGATTTTGACTAAAAGTTTAGGCAAAGCTGAACTCTGTGAACTCTCTCTAAAGTTAATGTTCTCTATGGCTAGTTGAGTTAATGACCTAATTTTTAAAGTGTACTGCAAACTATAGTTGCCTTCTGAATAGAAGGAGACTCCTTTGCCTTCTTAGGACACTACCTCATGCATGTCCAGCTTGCTGTTGCTGGTTTTGAGCGTTTTGTTGACAGATTTCAGAGACCCAATCAGAAGAATTCTGATGCTTGAAGGTAGAGGTGTTTTTGTTTTTTTTTTTGCCAAATACTTTATCCTTTAATGGGCTTTTTATAGGATATACTGCTTTAGGAAAACAAAGCAGATAAAATTCCATCATTGTATTCATACTTGAGTTACTAGAAATTACTAGGTTATGTTGTATCTAGAGGTGTGTTTGTCTCTATGTCCAGGTGTAGTTTTTCCAGTCTTTAAGATAATCATGGCGTAGAGCAGAAACTCATCAAATCCAATGTATTATTCTTTAAAGGAATAATCAATCAAATGACTATATTCTCTGTTATAAGGGCTTCCAGGAAAAAAAAATTGAAAATGTTTAAATATAGTTCACTTATGCTTGTAAGGATATTGTGCTACTTCACATTTATTAAACTGGTCCAAAATGCAAAATATTTGTTATGCCCAGATGAGTATAAAAGTATGGAATTTTTTTATATAGACATGTTTGTGAATGTCATTTGAAAGTTTTCCCCTTAAATGCTGATTTTTTAGGCTACTTGCAAGCGGGATCAAAGGCTTGCAATGCTTCGAACCCACCGCATACACATGCAGAAGAAGAAAGAAGAGGAGGTCGAACACTTTGAGGAAAATAACAATTGGCTGCATCGTGTTGAAAATGAAATGCGCCTCCTGGGTCAAGATGGGTGTATTCCAAAGGTAAAATGCCTTTCATTTCAAGAGCAGATTTCCCGCATTGTAGGCAACATCTGACTATAGTTAAGAATAGTATTTTTTTTACCTCTCTACATATTGCTTCTACTCCTGGCTTCTGCTTTAATTCTTTCAGGGTGGTTTCAAATTCTAGCACTAGCTGTTTCCATTCTTCTGCCCTAAAAGTACTTCATCATTTGTGCAAGTATTCCTTGTTCATGAAAGTATACAATTCCATAAAAAACGTGTGCTAAAGGGGAATAAGTATGATATGGCTTGAGCAGTTCAGATGCCTGCCGGAGAGTTGATCCTGCTCCTGGCCATACACTTCTATTCTTGCCTATACAGTAGCTCCTGATGCTCATCTAACCATGTGACAACCTTATCCTTAGCCTGGCCAAAAAAACTGTCTTTTTTTGGAGAGTGCTAGGGGAGGAGTGGGACGGGAGAAAGAAGTGGGATGTTGTGTTCTCTGCCAAGTTTTAGCAAGTAGTCAGTTCAGTGCAGCCACAGAGAAGCACCAGAGCTGGCAGAAGGGAAGGGATGAAGGTTTGTGCAGGAAGAAGGAGAAGAGGAAAAGAAAGGTGGGGGGTTGTTCCTCCCTGCCTTTTAGTTTCAGCCAGCAATTGGAGTAGCCTAAATGATAGTGTGGTGAGCACTTACATGACTCATAGTAGAATGTATTTTAATACCTGTGTTTTTATTGAGATGACTAAAATTTGTTGATAACTTAAAAGAAATTAACTTTAAGATATTTCAAACAAGGTATCGTCATCTCAGGAAGGTGACTGAATACAGTGAAGACTTGTCTTAGACAATGTCACTGAAATTCAGATATGGAGCGGGTACACAGGAAAAGAGGCAAGCATGTTTTTGGGCATGCATAGATAAGCATATGTGTGTGCCTGTTGGGTTCTTAATGCTAATTACAGCACACCCACTATTGGTCAAAGGAAATCTACAAAGCAATATTTATGAATTTAAATGAGAACCAAACAATTCATACTTTTCTACCATAAAACTTCATTATAAAAATATAGATCCACTTCATCTTTACTTTTCAATATAGGATGAATTAATATTATTTTAGTTTATCACTTTCAGTTTGATGTCCGGTTGTTTGGATTTTTTTCTTGCTAATTTCTCAAGGAACTTGGTAAAGATCTGCAGTGTTGCCATTTAAACCTAGAAGTTAAGGACCTGAAAGCCCAGATTGAGCACATGTTATCTCTGGTGTCCCTTCAAGATCAGCACTATAAGCAGACAGAAAAGTAAGTATTGTTTTATAGCAGGCTTGATAAGACTTCTGTTCTGACATTTGTAACTTCAGAAGACATATCTATAGAATTTAGTTTTAGCTGAAACAGAAGCAAGATTTTTCTCAAACTTTTTTTCAAGGTTAGAATTGTGTTTTCTTAAGCAAAAAGATATGTAAAATAATAATCACTTCATCAGTATTGGTCTATATCTACCATTGTTTAACAGAAACTGCAAGGATACTCTAGTCCTCCTTATTTGTATTTCATTTTCTTCTTTGCATATTTTTTACAAACTGTTCAATAGATCGTGGTGTCTTATATTCTTCTTCTGTGTTGAATAGCAGTATTGATTTTTCTATAAGTGTTTGTGTTTTCTTTTAATTCCCTGCACTGTAGACATTAATTTATCTGTATTGAAAATGGTCACCATTAAACTGTCATATAGCTAGTCAGACTGAAAAAAGCTGAACTTGCAGGTAAGCATTAGCTCTTCTATTACCAGTCTCTGAAATGTTGGAGACTGGCTTTCAGTGTGACGTAAGGAACAGGAAGTAATTGCAAATCTGCAGCAAGTAACTATATTAAATTTATAATTAAATCATTCCAAAATGAAATAGCCAGCTTTTCTTCCTCCTCTGGAGAAAAGGCTGTTACCATAAACATTACAAAAACTAATAAACCTGAAAAACTAAAAGCAAAATTTTTAAAGCTATGTTGTTCATAATTAAAGATGCTTCTTGGGTGTTTATATACATATCCCTTTCCCTGTTGCTCGAACCTACTGTTTAGTCCTGCAACTGACTCCATAGTTAATTATTTCCTGTTTGCATATAGGATTCCTAAACTTTTGTCACTTTAATTTGGTTTACAGTTCTGTGTAAGTCTTCTTTAATTCTTTAATTAAAGATCCTAGTATCTAAATTTACTTGGACTAGGCTTCTAATAAGGTTTTGTACACATCTAATTAAGATGTGCTTGGGTTTAAACAACATTATTTGGTTCATACTTTTCTTTTTTCTGATACTTAATTTTAGAAAGTCAGAACTCAATCAAAATATACTGACTATTTCTGTGGCGTTTGAGGTACTGAAGATCTTGAATGCTGAGGAAAAACTACTTGATAAATGCTTACAGTGAAATACAAGATTTTGCAAAAGGGAAAAATCACTCAACTAGTAATGAAAATTTCCTCTCTGTTTTATGGTATTCCTTGAAAATAAATTAAAATAAGTTACACTACAGAGCCTGGGGGGAGGGGGGTAGAGAAAAAATCCCTCCTGTTCCTAATAGTGGTAGTGCTAGTAAGGATCAGATTACTTATGATTTTAGTCACATTTGTCTCGCCTCTTGTTGTTTTACAGAGTACTAAATACTTTGCTTCCATTTCTTCGCAAGCAATACCTGACTTTGAAAGAAGCTGGGTTGACAAATAATTTAACTGAGACTGAATTTGGGGAGGTTGAGCAGCTGATTCAACGACAAAAATCAGTAGTTTGGGCTGACCAGACTGAAGAAAAAGAACAAAATCAAAACCATGAACTAAAGTTGTCAGCTATCTTTGCATTCCCACAACTTGTGAACAGACCAAACACCCCGTGCCGTAAGTATACAAGTAATGTGTTCTCTGTTTGAAATACTTTTCAATGTCTCCTGCAAAAGCTATATGTCATCCTTAAACACCGTGGATGCACACTTCTGCAAATATAGAAGCCAAATGTAAAACCAAGCCTCAGACCCACTTTCTGTAAGTTATGTACCATTCTTACTTGGATATAGGAAATAAGTTGACATATTCAATGGCTATACACACTCTGCCAACAGATAACTTATTCTCTTGTTGGAACGTACGCCATATAGCACTGTTGCTAGGTCCTATGAGTGTTATTAGTAATTCCATTTGAGTCTTTCACATGACATTGATGGAAAAGGCATCATAGTGTCAATAAGTATTATAATTCTGTTAGTGATTTGAAAAGTTAAGCAGCTACTGGAGTTTTGCTCAGTTTGAATTAATAGCCTTGTGGGGGATGAGATTTCCTGTTAATTACAGGCTGACCCGGAATCAACTTAGTACAATATTTTATAAGTTTACTTTTCTAAGAATCAAAAGATTCATTATTTCTATGGAATTGACTGCTCTGTTGTATCCTGCTGGCCCTGTTTCTTCCCTATAACTCTAATGTTCCAGTCAAACACTGGAACAAGCTTCCTAGAGAGCTGGTCAATGCCCCAAGCCTGTCAGTGTTTTTTGCATTCGAACAATGCCCTCAATAACATGCTTTAATTTGGTCAGGCAGTTGGGCTAGATGATCATTGTAGGTCCTTTCCAACTGAAACAGTCTATTCTGTGTAGCTGTCTTTTCTTCTTTAGCTGTAAAGTGAGTTGCCCTGGAGTATAGCCTGGGTAAAAATGGCTGAAGAATCCTTACGGGAAGCGCGTTCTGATGGATGACAGGCAAAATCTCAGCCTGGTAGCGCAGCTGCTGTGGGCCAATGTTGGTAGCTTGTGCTCTGGATAGGCAGCACTGAACACACTGGGGCTTTCTGATTATAGCTAGTAATCCATAACATTGAATGACATCCATAGGTAACAAGGGAAAAGCAGATAAGTAATACTTCAGCTTCTCAAAAGCTGGTAGCCATGGAAGAGCATTGACCCCTGGAGCACTGTGAAATTAGTTCCCTGCTTTCTTTAGCTTTCTTCCTCTACACAGCGTGCTCTGGAGTTGAGAATTATTCTGCCAAAACCATTTATTACCTCTGTTCTCATTAAGTGTGTATGTGATTTTTGGCATGTGTTTGTATTGCTATTGATCATACCAGATAGTTGATTCCCAGGATTTCACGGTCTGCAATGTAAAGGTCAGACAGTGTTGAGGATGAGCTGAGTTTGGTTGGGTTTTTTTTGGGGGGGGGGTGTTTGGAGGGGTTTTTTTTGGTGTGGGTTTGCTTTTGGGTTTTCTGAGAGAAGGAAAAGAAAGTTTGCAGATTTGCATGATTATGCTTCCTGTTCTGCCTGTGCTAGTCAAGGATTCAGCAAGGTTGGAAGCAGTTGTTAGCTTGCCCGTTTCTCCTTCCTTCTTGGAATAGGGCAGCAGACCTCGGCGGATGGCAGCATTCTTCCACTCTGCTCCATTCTCATTTTCCATAGAAAGAAATTGGATATGATCTTGGATTGCTGGCAACTTTTTGGAAAATCATGGTAGTCATAAGTATCTGCATTTTGTGGGATTGCGTTCATTAGGAACCATGATGCTACTGTGGTAACAGAATGGAAATATATTCTGCAAAGCTTTATGAAAGGCATTGAAATAAAAGGTAGTGGTTCCCTTTCTTGCTTTATCACTATTTTTAAGTGAAAAAGAATACAGTTTTTAAAGCTGTTTTTCTAGTCTGTTTATTCTGTCATGGCAAAGCAGATTAGTGAAGGATTTTGGAGGTGGTGGTTGTTTCCCGTCATAACTCATCTGAGAACTCAAATACTGTAACATTTTCTTTTCAGTGCTAGAACACTGGAATCTTAAGTGCTAGCAGTTCGGATTACAGAAATCTGCCCCATACTTTCAAATCATGTTTTGTCTGTGTGTATATATGCCTATGTTTTAATTTATAATTTACTGTGATTATCTGCCTGAAAAATTTTAATTTTATTATTTAAAAAAAATCCAAACCCCTAAAATAATGGTATTTATGATGTGTTAAGATTGGATTTGTGGAATTATGTCTGTGACTGAAGAAGGAAAAAAATGCAAACTTCTCTAAACCACCTGTAAAATAAGAATCCAAGAGTTATGCCATGGGTTTTCACTTGGAGATCAGTATTGTATATGTGCAAGGCAAACATGAAGCCATTTTCCTAGCTGGTATTTATTTTAGATCATAGACGTATATTTTATATACTTTTTTTCCCTTTGGGAGGGACTTTTCTTTCTGCAGAATAGGTAGGGAGATATACCCAAATACAGATCCACTAAACTGTATTATATACTTTCTCACTAAATTTTGATCATAGAGTTTCTGTCTTGTCATATGTGGGTTATCATTGTTGTGAATTTTAATTCCTGACGCTAGTAAGCTTCATTAGAGTTCTTGATTAAGCTACTGCTATTCCACCTTTCTTGAAGTCCTGTGTTGTAAGATCTGTTCTTACTGAAATTAACAATAAAGTAACTATTAAATTGCATGTGAACTTTTAAGGCATAAACATTTCATTCCATTAAAGTAATTAGACATAATTTGAGGGGTTGTCTTAAGTCTTATGTAGAGGTTTTCCAATTATTCTCTTGTTCTAAAAATTGTTGAACTGTATGTTCACTTAAGTAAACGGACACCATATTTTTCAGTTAAGGTATACTTTTTTTCAGCTCTAAAGGATGTCTTTGCCTGAACATGCCCAATAGAAATCTTTTGTGGTATTTTTATTCCTGTTTACTTGTTCTTTTGAAAAAGAAATAGACATTACTTTCATTCCTTTTGCCCTCTTATTAGATGCAGGCGAAAACATGGTAGAAACAACTATTGTCCAAATTTTGTGACCTTTACAGGAAAGGTTAAGATAACTTCTAACAAGACATTTATAAATATTTTTTTTTAAGCTCTTCATTTGATTGTGTGCTCTTTGTTTGCTTTTGACTAGTTGTATAAATGTGTGTGTGTTGATACTTCTAAGGGAGGTTGCCAGAATTATTTTTTTTTTCCAAAGTACTGAAGGTTTTTAATCTTCACAAAGAATCTTCCTCTCTCTCATTGGAAGCTTAAGTTGGTTAGCTAACATAAAATACGTTTTCAACAGCTTTTTTCCCCTCAATACTGCTTATTAGTATGAGACTAACCGTTCAGCAGATAGCCATTATACAAAAATTTCTAAACGTAAGTCATTGTACAGAATAAAACATATTGCTGCTAGGTACTAAAGTACTGAGGACTTGACATTAGACATTTGAATTTGAAATTGAGTTGGAATTGAATTGACAACTGGCTTTGCATACTGGAGAAAGTTAGAATAAAGTTCTAGAAATTATTAATTGGACATGCAATTATTTAATCTTAAAACATTGAGATAACAAGTAAATGTGAACAGTAGCAGCCCTGCTCAGAAAAAAATACTCTTTTCAAATATTTTTACAGTATCACTTTAATATTAATGTATCCTTACCTAAAATGGTAAACTGGTGTTGACACAATCATTTCCATACATCTTGGGAGGTGTGGTAGAAAAAAGTAATCCACTTACCAGTGTTTTAAATTTTTTTCTGTTGAACACTAAATAAATGCAATGAAATAGCTCTTCTTCAATTGTTTGTTTAAATTCGCATTTAAAATGTTTTTAACTATTAGCTGGTATTATGTTATGGAAATACATTTCTCCTCTGCAGAATGTGTATCAAGGAAAAAAAACATAAATCAGAAAAAATACATTATCATGGGAAAATGTGAAGTAGTACAAAGGCAACATCCCAATCAGAAATAGGAGGGATGTAGTAATTTCTTTTTTCCTTTAAAGATGAAATAAATTATTCAAGAATCCAATTCCTTCTCCCTAAAGTCATCTCAGAAGTATGCTTGGCAAATGTTAGCAAGAGCTGACCTAAGAACTTAGTGAACAAATAAAAAGGAAGATTTATACAGATCCCCTCACACCTTGGCGTGTTGATATTTTATTATTTATAATTTGTTCAAGATGTTGGGAAGGAAATAGTGTTTTGCATGAAGGTGGAAAAAAATATTAGCCATGTGCTACACAGTGGCCACTATTCCTTATATAAAAATGCTTAT